TTAATGCTATAAATCAGTCCTGCTTTGGATATATCCCACAAATTTTGTAATGTTTTTATTTCCATTTAGTTTAAAGCATTTTATAATTTCACTAATGATATTTTTCTGTGGCCTATGTGTTATTGGGAAGTGTTATGTTTGATATCAGATATGTGCAGTTTTTCCAAATATCTGTTATCTTTTTGCTACTAACTTTTCATTTATTTTTGTTATTATCATAGACCATATGTTATATGATTTTGATTTTTTTTTCTACCCCACTCCCTTTTTTGGGGATCTAGTGATATGTATATTAGTCTGCTAGATACTGTCCACTTTGTTCTTACATTTATATTCAGTATTTTTTTTCTCTTTTCTTAGTAACAATTACTGAGAGAACAGAGTTAAAATCTTTAGTTATCATTTTGGATTTTTCCATTTTTAATTTCAGTTTTCTCAGCTTTTGCTTTGTTTGGAAGCTCTGTTACCATATATACACGTTTAGGATTACTGTGTGTCTTGGTCATTTGAGTGTATTTATGCAGAGTCTCTTGTTATCCTTGGTAATATTTCTTGTTCTGATGTTTAATTTTTCTGAATAGTTTTACAGGCATCACTAGCTTTGTTTTCATTAGTGTTTGCATGGATATCTTTATTCATTGCCTTTTAATCTAGCTCTCTTTGTTTAAACCAATTTCTTATAGATAACACAATGTTGGGTCTTGCTTTTTTATTTTAAGTATTACAGTTTTTGTCTTCTCTTTGGAATGCATTTCATGTAATTTCAGTATTATTGGGTATAAATTTGCCATCTTGTTTGTGTTCGTCTCCTTTGGTGTTTTGGTTTCTTTTTTCTCTAATTTTTCTTACTTTGCATTAAGGATATTTTATAATTTTATTTTTACTTCCACTGTTGACTTAGTAGATTTAGTTTTTGTTTTGTTTCATATGATTTATTTGGGTTTTAAACTGTATGTTTTAATTTATCACAGTCTACTTTCAGATAAAGTTAGCCTTCCTGGGACCAGCAGAGGCTGTAGTAGTTATATCGCTGGACTCCTATGTAGTTGATCGTGGTTTGAGTCTTGGACCCAGTGACTTCAAACTCATGACAGGCATGTGTGCATGCTTACCCAAAATCCCGAGAGGAGAATGGAGGAGAAGGGATTGCAGCATGGCCATTCCCCCCACACACACACCCGCCAGGGACTGATTTCTCACTTTCTGACTCTCTCTTTCTGTCTCTTTGGCAAGTGCAAGCACCCTAGAGTAAAAATCTCTCAAAAAAAAAAAATTAACCTTCCTTTCATATTGCATGTAAACCTTTCAACAGTATCTTCTATTTTTGCATCATGGTCTTTGTGTTTTTGTTGTTATTCAGTTTCCCTTTTACATATTCTTACCACAATTCATTGTTAATTTCCAGTGAGTGGTCAGTTATCTTTTAAAGGGATTAAAAACGAGGGAAAATATGTTTTCTATTTACGCACACATACTATCTCCAGCACTCTTTGTTTCTTCATATAGATTCATAATCTTTGATATGCTGTCATTAGACCTGAAGCACTTTAGTATTTCTTATAATACAGATAGTTTGATCTTCGAAATCTGAATTTCATCTTCATTTGCAGAAGATATTATCACTGGATTTAGAATTTTCAGTTAACATTGTCTTTTAGTACTCTATTCTGTTACATCCTGAATCGCATAATTTCTGATGGGAAGTCTGTTGTCATTCTTATTTTTGTTCCTCTGTACATAATTTTTTTTTTTTAGCGGTTTTCCCTAGAGGGTGCATGCGCTCACCACACAGACAGAGACAGAGAGACAGAAAGCGAGAAATCACCCCCTAGGGGGGATGGTCACGCCGCAATCCCTTCTCCTCCATTCTCCTCTCGGGATCTTGGGCACGCACGCACACGCGCCCGGTGTGAGTTTTAAGCCACCGGGCCCGGGCCGCAACCCGCGGTCGACTACGTGGGAGTCCAGCGACATAGCCATTACGCTAACTGCTGGTTCCCGCTCTGTACATAATTTTCACCACTACCTCTGCCCCCTGGCTGCTGCTTTTTCTTTTCATCTATTTTCAACAGTTGGATGATGATATGATGCTGTGCATTAAGGACATTTTCTTTTCAGCTTTTGAATCTAGCTTTATAGTTTTAATCTAACTTGGAAATCTTTGACCATTTCTTTAAATATTTTTTCTGCTCTGTTCCCTTCATCTGGGACTTTCGTGTTTTGTGCGTGTGTGTGTTAACCTGCTTGATACCGTCTATGATCTATTCATTTACTTTCAGCCTTCACCCTATCTGTTTTTCATGTTGGTTAGTCGGTTCTGTCCTCAGGGTCAGTGATCTTTTCTTCCATGCCCTTGTATCCCATACAGTGTGTATTTATATGCATTTGAAAAATAATAACTGGAAGTTCCATTTGGGTTGGTTGGGTTGTTTTCTCCTTGCTATCCTCATGTTCCTGTTTTCTTTCGTATTTGAATGTATTTATGATAGTTGCAACAGCTGTTTGTAAGGTCTTTATTGGCTAACTTTATCATCTCTGTCATTTCTGGGTCTATTTCAGTCCCCATCTTTGTGTTATAGCTTGGGAAGGGCCTTCTGAGGAAGCAGGGCAGTCACAGCGCTTAGCGTTTTTCTTTTTGTCTGGGCCTCTGCCCTAAGCATCTGAGTGCCTGTCCTAAGACAGTGGAGTTGTATCATGCTCGCTAATTGTTGTTTGCATCAGAAAGACACACGTCATGGCAGGTTATCCTTAATGGGTAGAAATGGAAATGCCCCTCCCCACCTATTTTTGATGCATAGGTTCACTTTATCTGAAATACACGTATAAACGGTACATATAGAATGATGACTAGATCTTTTCATTGTCTTATTTTGCTGTTAGTACAGTCTATAATAATTGCCTTTTCAGTGATTGTAAAGTATTCTGTCAAGTCGATGTTTAAGCGTTTCTTAACTAGCATTGCAGGGTTGAACTTGGGGAAGCCTCTTTTTCTAGGTACACAAAGTGCGGCCCTGGCCTCTAAGGCATAATTCCTTACTGAGAAGAATACAAGAGATCTGGCAACCCTACCTAGCTGTCTCTGGCCCATTTGTACCCTCAGTGTCTGCTTTAAGATGAAGTCTCAAAGAAATACACCCCCAATTTAAAAAATATATATATATGGCACCGGGAAACAGTATTGGGATATCATACCCTTACTCAGCCCGAACATGTCTGTGATCAAATGTGTGTGGTTTCTCCACATCAGACGTTCTCTAGTTCTCCGTGGAGACGGCCCGGGTGCCCTCTAGTGTAACTCAGGCCTGATGTTGTCTACCTGGAAATAGCCTCAGACCCCACAGGTTCAGAGTCAAAAGTCGGCCCCCACTTCAGATGCCAGTCCACAGACCAGGCTGTCACCCATGCTTCTGAAAATCAGCTCTGACTCAGAGGTTCCCACAGCCCCTCCTCAGGTTGTGTCATTGTGGAATGGCTCCCAGAACTGAGGAGAGCAATCATGAGGCGCATAGGGCAAAGGCACATGGGAAGGGCCGCAGAGTGTCCTTGTCCTCTCCAGATATGCCAACCCCATCTCCCACCCCCAGGAGCTTCCATGTGTTCCACTGTCTGGAAGGTTTCCAAACCCTGTCCTTTCAAGTTTTTATGGAGGCTTCATAAATAGGTATGATCGATTACCTCATTGGCCATTGCTGATCAACTTCGCCTGTGTTCCGCTTCCCTCCCCAGCGGCCAGCGGATGGGGCTGAAAATTCGATTCCTTGGAAAAATCACAAGGGTTTTTGCATCTGTGTGCTAGGAACCAGGGGCCGAAATTAAAATGTGTCTTTCTTATTAAATCACAATATAGCAGCTAGGCAGCTAGGTTCTTAGCAGACCAGTCACACTGAAAATAGCAGAGCCCAGGAAGCTAGGGCTTGGAGTGTGCTGTGGTGTGTCGTGTGGTGGAAGTCTGTGTGGCCATTGGCAGTGACCAGAAGGCAACTCATGTCATTCCTATCCAGAAATTATTCTGTAAAAATACCAAGAAGTAGCCCTGTACAGAGAAGAACAGGCATGGGCCAGTTCTCTGTAACTGGATACAATTGCACATGCGCAGGTGAACAAAAGCGGAGAAATGCACGAGGAGGCCTCCAGGAACTGGAGACCTGGATCTGTTCAAGCTCTGCTTCTGTTTTCTGTATGATCTTGGGCAAGTCTGTGCCTATATCTAGACCTGGTTTCTGTGTTGTACACTGAGGGGTGTGATCATTTACTTCTTTGTGTTACATAGGGCTTTGGTTTTGTCTTCTTCATTTAATAAAATTCCCAGTAGATATACTACAGAGACTTTTCTCCCCTTAAAAGTCATGTGTGCTCTCTGGAGAGAGAGAGAAAGTGAGAAATGGCCCCGCTGGGCAATGGCCACGCCACAATTCCTTCTCCATTCTCTTCTCGGGAATTTGGGTATGCATGCACATACCCAGCATAATTTTCAAGCCACCCACTCAGGCTTGAACCGCGATCTGCCATGTAGGAGTCCAACTCCTTAATCACCACACCATCTGCTGGCCCCAAAGAGACACAATTTTAAGCTCACTGAAGAAGTGGGAGTGTAAGACACTTTGGTATACTCGGGGTGTTCCCTAAATAGCACCTCCTCCCCCATTCAGAGCTCAAGCTCTGTGACAGCGTGTGGGGCCTCGCCAGGCTCAGGATAGGGTGATTCCCGTTACAGAGAGCTCACGGTACCAGGCTCAGTGCTCGGCTCTTCCCTGCATCCTCTCTTGTTAGTCTTTCCAATCTTCATGTCATGTCCATGTGATTATCTTTTCTCCCCACATGATTAAAAGCAGACACTGCAAGCCTCGGTAGCTGTCTAAGGAGGAGCGTGGATTTTAACCCAGGCTTGAGTGCCAAAGGCCACCTTTCACTTCCGCCCGCCACACTTTTGTTCCTGCTGTGCTCAGCAGCAGCCCGGTGGCCTTCAAGTAGCACACTGTCCGTCTCCTTTGCACCCACAGCTGACAATGAGAACAACATCGCCTCCAACCAGTCCCGCTCCCCCCCTGCTGTGGTGGAAGAGAAGTGGAAGCCTCAGGCCCAGAGGAACAGCGCCAACAACAGTAGGTCTCCTTCCCAGCACTGTGGGGGGGCCTGCAGCCCCAGCTCCTGCCGTTCCCTCCTGCCCGTGCCTACCATCCCTGCCTCCCGCGATGGTACGCGGTGAGGCCAGCAGTCTCCAGAGCACTGTGGTAAACCTACAACCTGGTACAACCTGGTTTGCAGGAATTCTTAATTCACAGGATGAGCAGACAGAGGCCTGGGGAGTGGAGGTGGGTTTTGCTGGGGATTGGAGAGCTCTGAAGAGAGACACCCCACCTCGCCCTGGTTTCTTTTGGCTGCCATTTTTCTGACACCATGTTCTCACCTGTTTTATTCACTAAAGAGTCCCGTATTGGGCCAGCAGATGATGTAGTTGTTAAGGTGCTTGATTCCCACATGACGGACCGTGGTTCGAGTCCCAAACCTGGCAGCTTGAAAATTATAACAAATGATAATTTTTTTTTAAGTTTTCCATAGTCGGGGTGATTCCTCTTTCGAAGAGTAGGTCAGACTCAATGGCCTTCAAGGCATAGGTGATGCCACACAGTACACTGTACCCCATTTCTGTGTCCAGGGTCGGTGCTACTGACCAATCAGAATGTGATCCCCATGAAACACTTGCACGTCAGAATCAGCCAGCACCACCAGTGTGTGTGCAAGGTGAAGTCTGGTCATCCTTCCTCCTACCAGGTGCTTGGGGTGACCGGGCTGCCACCAGATCAAGCAGCCGTATGTGCCAGAGTTAATCGCATCTCTCTCTGTCCTCCGCCAGCCACGACCAGTGTTTTAACACCCAACAGCGTGATCCCCGAGAAGGAGCGGCAGAACATCGCCGAGCGGCTACTGCGGGTCATGTGCGCTGACCTGGGCGCGCTGAGCGTGGTGAGCGGGAAGGAGTTCCTCAAGTTGGCCCAGACTTTGGTGGATAGTGGCGCCCGCTACGGGGCCTTCTCGGTCACCGAGATCCTGGGCAACTTCAACACGCTGGCACTGAAACACCTGCCACGCATGTACAACCAGGTGAAGGTGAAGGTGACCTGTGCCTTGGGCAGCAATGCCTGCCTGGGCATCGGCGTCACCTGCCACTCGCAGAGCGTCGGCCCTGACTCCTGTTACATCCTCACGGCCTACCAGGCCGAGGGCAACCACATCAAGAGCTACGTGCTGGGCGTAAAGGGCGCGGACATTCGTGACAGTGGCGACCTGGTGCACCACTGGGTACAGAATGTGCTGTCAGAGTTCGTGATGTCGGAGATCAGGACGGTGTACGTGACGGACTGCCGGGTGAGCGCGTCCGCCTTCTCCAAGGCCGGCATGTGCCTTCGCTGCTCAGCCTGTGCCTTGAACTCGGTGGTGCAAACGGTGCTGAGCAAGCGGACGCTGCAGGCCCGCAGCATGCACGAGGTCATCGAGCTGCTCAACGTGTGCGAGGACCTGGCAGGCTCCACGGGCCTCGCCAAGGAGACCTTCGGGTCGCTGGCGGAGACATCGCCACCGCCCTGCTGGAACTCCGTGACGGACTCACTGCTGCTGGTACACGAACGCTACGAGCAGATCTGTGAGTTCTACAGCCGCGCTAAGAAGATGAACCTCATCCAGAGCCTCAACAAGCACCTGCTCAGCAACCTGGCCGCCATCCTGACGCCGGTGAAGCAGGCGGTCATCGAGCTGAGCAACGAGAGCCAGCCCACCCTGCAGCTGGTGCTGCCCACCTACGTCAGGCTGGAGAAGCTGTTCACCGCCAAGGCCAACGACGCGGGCACCGTCAGCAAGCTGTGCCACCTCTTCCTGGAGGCGCTCAAGGAGAACTTCAAGGTGCACCCGGCCCACAAGGTGGCCATGATCCTGGACCCGCAGCAGAAACTGCGGCCCGTGCCGCCCTACCAGCACGAGGAAATCATCGGCAAGGTCTGCGAGCTCATCAATGAGGTGAAGGAGTCCTGGACCGAGGAGGCCGACTTTGAGCCCGCCGCCAAGAAGTCCCGCTCTGCCACGGGCGAGAACCCCGCAGCTCAGGAAGACGATCGGCTGGGGAAAAACGAGGTGTACGATTACCTGCAGGAGCCCCTCTTTCAGGCCACCCCCGATCTCTTCCAGTACTGGTCGTGTGTGACCCAAAAGCACACAAAACTCGCCAAACTCGCCTTCTGGCTCCTGGCGGGCCCGGCCGGGGGAGCCAGAAGGTGTGTAAATATGTGTGAACAAGCACTTCTCATCAAGCGGAGGCGACTGCTCAGTCCGGAAGATATGAACAAACTCATGTTTCTGAAATCCAACATGCTTTAGGACTAGGAAAAAAAAAAAAAAGACAAAAAATAAAGAAGACAAAAAGAGAAGAAAACATTAGAAAAAAAAAAAACACAACACTGTCACAAACAAAGAAAAGGAATTTAAGTTCTAAACACTGTGGACCTCATTTAAATGCCCCCTGGAAACTTAAGTGCGCTTTTTTTTTTTCAGTGTGTGTGTGCATGCATGCGTGTCCACACCCAAACCTGCATGCACATGTCCAAACACATGTGCTGTTGGGGTGGGGGTGTGGGGGTCTCTGGGCTTGTCCACATGACCTGAGAGTCCTCGCACACGTGTGCACACACATACAACCCCAGTGCATGTACACACACCTTTCATGGGCATGTGTGCATTGCGCTGGGTGTGTCAGGAAAGCTGAGGGGTTGGGAAAGGAGGAGGTGCCCCCCTCCTTTTTCCAGTAAGGGGGCGTTAAAAGACTCCGTTTCAGGTGTGCAGATTGGTAGAAAGCTGATGTTGTGAAATGCCAGGCAGCTGAGATTCGAAGTGACTTGACGCTGTCTGTCCTTCATCCCTTGCTCCCCCTCCCCCACAGCCCTCCCCCAGCCCTCCTGACCCCCCTGAGCCCACCCCTTCCCCGGCTGCCCTGCCATGGATTCTCCAAACTGCATCAGATGGACAGTTTCTGCACTGGACTTGGTTTCTCGTTCACCTTCAGGGCATTGCGCTGCTGCCTACGTGATCCCCCTCGGGGGTCCGGGGGCGGCCGCCTTAGAAACACACCTATCTATCTCCCCATATCAGGAAAGGAGACTTGAAGAATATAAAGCTGACTTTTTGCTTTTTAATATAAGAGAGAAGAAAAACAGGCATTTTTCCAGAGAAGTGTAGATGCCGTCTCCACTCCTTAATAATTTGTTTTTCTAACATTTGAGCAATTTTTAACCTTGCTTTGGGGGTTTGTGTTTCTTTGTGTTTTCAGATTTGATTTAGACTCTGCTGGAGGCACTGAATGTCTGTAACTTATGTTTTTGGAGTTTGGTTTTGTTCTGTACGTGCCCTTTATGTTCCTCGAGTCACACTGTAAGCTAGCTCATCTCAGCGGTAGTCACTGTCCTAAGGTTTCGTGAGCCTTCCCTGGAACGGTCCAGCTCTCCCATATTTTACCAGCCACGGCCAACGGCTTGGCTGTGCTGTCTGGGGACCAGGGGTGGGGAAGAGTCGCAGGTCCACACGGGTGGGGTTTGGTGGAAGCCATAGTGGGGCGTGCACGGCTCAGGAGCTCTCCTGAATGTAAGCTGCCCTCCTGGTTCAGGTGTCTGCGGTGTCTGCTACTACGGATGTGTGATTTCTGTACCCAGAGTGCATTTCACTGCTCGTACCTCCCCGCCTTCCAGTTCA